TCCCTGCGTGGACAGGATGTCCACACCTGAGCGCTGGTCCTGCGTCCCAGCATGGACAGGATGTCCACGCCTGAGCGCTGGTCCTGGTGTCCCTGCGTGGACAGGATGTCCACGCCTGAGTGCTGGTCCTGCGTGGTCTCGTCAGGAGGAAGCTGCACGAGTCTGCTCGAACACTCGGTGGTCCTGGTGTCCCTGCGTAGACAGGATGTCCACGCCTGAGTGCTGGTCCATGACCTGGTCCCAGCATGGACAAGATGTCCACGCCTGAGCGCTGGTCCTGCGTGGTCTCGTTAGGAGGAAGCTGCACGAGTCTGCTCGAACACTCGGTGGTCCTGGTGTCCGTTTGGCAGAAGTTGTGCAGCTGAACTCGTCGGTGCTGTCCAGTCTCTGACGGCTTCGTTTGAAATCACTCGGGCTGAATCACTGAAAGGAGCTGAAGTGAAGCAATGAGACAAAACCAGAGGTCGGACAACCGGACCAAGGAGTTCTTAGCAGCAAGGCCTCACATTACACCAGAGTTTCCAGCTTTTTATGGATGAGAAGTTTAATTGAAGTTAATAAAAATAGTTTTTGACCTGGTTTGTGTTTGCATGGATCAGATTGTTCAGAAATGTAAAAAGAGCAAGTTCAACATTATAAATCACGGCGCAGGGAGCGTCCACGCTCGGTTCGAGCTCGTCTTCTTGGTGCACGCTTTATTTTATTTTATTCTTTAGATTTTCATCATGTAAATGTTTTACACCTCAGAGTTATCACTGAAAATGTGTTTTTTTGTTCCGTTTGGTTTTTTTGTTTAGTTTCATTTATCATAATTTAACCCTCAATGTTTTTTAAGTGCAATATATTTATTTTGCTCTGTGGAAATAATGTGTATAATGTACTTCACCACATTTACAAAGTATTTGTAAACCATGAGAAATATATATCGGCACCCAAACACTTGTGTGAGTTTTTTTTCACTGACCTGCAACGAATCAGAGTCAGAAATTAATCGAGTCAGTTAATTAAAGGAGAAACTCTTTTTGTTACTGTCAGAAACACTGTGATGGTTTTGTTGTGAAGTGCTGCAGCACCACCACACCCCCACACCCCCACACCCCCACACCCCCACCCTGTGGACAGTTTTCATACATTAGAACTAAAACTGCAGCTTCTCAAGATGGATTCCAGCAAAGAGCCTTCAGAAGAATCGCTGATAAAATAAAGCTGATAATTGTAATTAAAAACAAACTGAGCAGCTCAGTAGATGTTTGAGCTGAACTCGAATACAAAATGACACGCAGTCAGAAAGAGGTTTGAATAAAAACATTAAATGAAGCTCAAGCATCATTTTATATTTTCTAACTGAGAAGTGGATGACAAGGTGATGTAGATATACAGGTCCTTCTCAAAAAATGAGCATATCATGAAAAGGTTCTCTAAACAACTATTAACCTAACCATCTGAATCAACGACGTAACTCTAAACACCTGCAAAAGATTCCTGAGGCTTTTAAAAACTCCCAGCCTTGTTCATTACTCAAAACCACAATCATGGTAAGACTGCCGACCTGACTGCTGTCCAGAAGGCCATCATTGACACCCTCAAGCAAGAGGGTAAGACACAGAAGGAACTTGCTGAACGAATAGGCTGTTCCCAGAGTGCTGTATCAAGGCACCTCAGTGGGAAGTCTGTGGGAAGGGAAAAGTGTGGCAGAAAACGCTGCACAACGAGAAGAGGTGACCGGACCCTGAGGAGGATTGTGGAGAAGGGCCGATTCCAGACCTTGGGGGACCTGCGGAAGCAGTGGACTGAGTCTGGAGTAGAAACATCCAGAGCCACCGTGCACAGGCGTGTGCAGGAAATGGGCTACAGGTGCCGCATTCCCCAGGTCAAGCCACTCTTGAACAAGAGACTGCGTCAGAAGCATCTCGCCTGGGACTGCTGCTGAGTGGTCCAAAGTTATGTTCTCTGATTACAGTAAATTTTGCATTTCCTTTGGAAATCAAGGTCCCAGAGTCTGGAGGAAGAGAGGAGACACAGAATTCACATTGCTTGAGGCCCAGTGCCAAGTTTCCACAGTCACTGGGGTGCCATGTCATCTGCTGGTGTTGGTCCACTGTGTTTTATCAAGGGCAGGGTCAATGCAGCAGCTATCAGGAGATTTTGGAGCACTTCATGCTTCCATCTGCTGAAAAGCTTTATGGAGATGAAGATTTCATTTTTCAGCATGACCTGGCACCTGCTCACAGTGCCAAAACCACTGGTAACTGGTTTACTGACCATGGTATTACTGTGCTCAATTGGCCTGCCAACTCTCCTGACCTGAACCCCATAGAGAACCTGTGGGATATTGTGAAGAGAAAGTTGAGAGAACAAGACCCAACACTCTGGATGAGCTTAAGGCCGCTATCGAAGCATCCTGGGCCTCCAGAACACCTCAGCAGTGCCACAGGCTGATTGCCTCCATGCCACGCCGCATTGAAGCAGTCATTCATGCAAAAGGATTCCCGACCAAGTATTGAGTGCATAACTGAACATGATTATTTGAAGGTTGGTGTTTTTTGTATTAAAAACACTTGTCTTTCATTGGTGGGATGAAATATGCTAATTTTTTGGGACAGGCATTTTGGGTTTTCATGAGCTGTATGCCATAATCATCAGTATTAAAACAAGTAAAGACCTGAAATATTTCAGTTGGTGTGCAATGAATCT